ACAAAAAATTTCGAAATCGAAATCTTCTTTACCATTTCTTAATTTAATATGGCGCTACTGAACTGTCATATCTAAAGCTCTTTATTAATAAAAGTAGCGCATCACTTTGATCTGGGCCGAAATGACAACAACCTATTGGATATTTCGACCGCTATTTTTGGGCTTAGTTGTCTGTAAGCTGTTGTAGTCAATAAACACTTAGTATCATTGCTATAGCGTAACTCCGGTATATACGCATCTATTAAAAACTTAATTTATTAAGTATTATTTATTATGCTTATAATAAATGAATTCAGTAAAAATTTTATACTGTCTACTACTATGAAAAAAATATTAGAAATCCGAAATATTTATTTTTCATATTAAAAAATAAACTTTTTGAAACCCTTGTTGCCTAGGAGTGGGATATATTTCATATATATAGGGGGGGAGGGAGAATATACGGCTCATAACAAATTTACAAATAATGTATATAAAAGACGTATAATGACACAATAACTTATGAAATATATTTATAAAGTTTTATTAAGGAATAAGAATGATAAATATGAAGTAATAAATAATAATTACAATCTTTCTACATATATTACAAGTTATGACATGAAGTACATATTTCGTATAATGCATTTATTAGTATTTGTGCACTGAATATACGCATTTTGTATGTATTGGGCATAATCTCGCTCGTTAAAAATGCCGTATATTCCAAATAAGTAGGATATATAAGACAATAAATTAAACAAAGAATACGAAAGCAAAGCACTTGTATTTTGCTATACATACAACATACTTTATTATTCCACTACACGTATGTATCATAAAATAACTACTAAATTTTTTACACGCCCTACAGTAATCATTTTATGTAGATCATTTTATGTAGATAATTTATGATGGTGTTACTTATTACAGACAAATCGATTCAACCGACTCACAATAATTTCATTAATATATTAACAGTAAGAAGCTGAAATCATAACACAATAACATAACATAAAGACATGTAACAGAGTAGTTACGGGAAAATTATCCCCACTCCTTCTATTTTTTCTGACTTCTACGGTGTAAATCCCAGCGTGGCGTCGGAGTTACTCTATGGTATAGTTAGTAAGTCCAATATGGCGAACTTTTGCGCTACATTTATTAATATAGAGCTTTAGTCATGTCGTGACAATATTTGCTTTATATAAAAACTATGTAATCTGTATTTACGAAATAGTGTAGTTCATAGACTAATAATTTGTATGAAGAAACAAAGTGGAGTACTTAAAATTGGATTTACAAGGATTCACATATATACTTCACAGATTTTGATCAGCTTTCGCGTGGTTATTCTAGGTCACTGAAAAATGTCCTTGTAAAGCAGTAAATTGTATCTCTATGTATTTTTCGAGAAAATCGTGATTTTAGGCATAACGACAGATAGCTTTCAAACCTTTTTTCTCTTCATTTAAACGTAAACGAAATATTTGAAATTATTTAAAATTAAAAAAAATACATCTCCGGCGTATATATAACACGTGTATAAGCACATAAATTCGAGTAGAATTCAGAACGCATTTGCGCCGATTCCTACCGCTTTATGAGTAGTAGTTTACAAGCAACAATTCGCGAGACGTTTTAAAACTTCGATTAAAATCAAAGAATGCCAATTTTCTCGAAATCTATCAATTTTCGAATCTAATATATGTATATATGTAAAAATTACTTATTTTTAAAAAATTACTTATTTTAAAAAATTTTTTTATCGATTTTCCTAGATTTAAAAATCCGTTATCGTGGCCTGAAATCACGATTTTTTTTTAAAATACGCAGAAGTGCAATTTTCTCCTTTATAGGGATTTTTTTATTCCTCAGAAGAATCACGCAAAAGCTGATCAAAATCCGTAAAATACATATATGAGTCTCTCTTTGTTAGACGTTTAATTAAAACATTATTATTATATGAAAATTTATGCGTGAGATTGATGTAGTAGATATGTAGCGATGTGTCAAAATCATTCAGATGCGTTTATGTTTCTAATACTCATTTTCATCAAAGTAGATTAACTTTAATCTTAGTTTCACTTACTCTTCGTCTTATTCTAGTTATTAAAGATTAGAAAAAGATGAAGAGTAAGTTGAACCGAGATTAAAGTTAATCTACATTGGTGGAAGCTTGAACGTTCTACATAATTATTTTAATAGTTTAACAAAATTATTTTTAGATTTCTACATTGAGAAAAAATTATCGGTATTTGTCACTAACTATTGTATAATTATGCTATTAGTAATAGTATATGTATAATTCTATCAATAAATATGTATGATTAGCAATCAAAACTGAAATTACACTTATTATTACCATAAAAATGATTTATTAATATAAATTATAATAATGATTTCAACTATTTTTGACAATAATTATAATTACTGCCATTTCAATCGCCAGCTATATATATATAATATAT